AGAATTAAATAATCTTTTTTTTTATTTGACAGAGAGAGAGACAGTGAGAGAGTGAACACAAGCAGGCAGAATGGGAGAGGGAGAAGCAGGCTTCCCGCCGAGCAGGGAGCCCGATGCGGGGCTCGATCCCAGGACCCAGGGATCATGACCTGAGCCGAAGGCAGACACTTAACGACTGAGCCACCCAGGCACCCCAAGAATTAAATAATCTTTAGGCAGACCTGTTAGACAAGGCTCCAATATGACATGGGAAGGACACCCTTTTGCCTTATTTCCAGATTTTGCATAATTTTTCTTACCACCACATCTGTGTGAAGAGTGTAGCCTCCTTAGACCACTGAAACTGCAAATTATCAAGGCATCAGGGGAGTGCTCCCTCCCACACTATCACACTTCAGAGGGGAACCAGATCCATCAGCTTTTGCCATTAGCCTCTCTCTATATATAGGGCTCAAATACGTGTCTCTGAGGCTGGGCAGGAAAATCAACACCCAAGAAAAATAAGGCACCATCTTCTTTATTTTCATATCTCCCCCAGTGCCCGTGAAAACCTCCTTTACACAGGTGCCCTGTGCAATTTGATACTGATGCAAATAAATAGCTTTGTGTTGCCCCCCTGCAAGTTATGAGACATGCACAGACATGGTTGAATTCCAGCCATGGGAACAATTAACACAAACCAGGAGACCCACAATAGTCACCTCAGATGATTACGATCATTCCAGGAGGTCAGAGAGGATGCCAGATAGCTGGCTTGGGAACAATGTAGGCAAAGGAAATATGCCATACTCACACTGCCCTACTAAGGACTAAAATGACATCTTGATTTATCACTCTTTCTGATTCAGATAAGATTGTTCATTCCCATGAAGTCCGGATTTGAGAGCACCTGAGCCACCCTGACGCAGACCAGTAAGTCAGGAGTGAACAGCGATTCCATACCATCCTCTTTGTTTAGGGTCTGGCAGTCCTAGCAAAGCCTGGCCTTCATACCTCACTTCTTCACACAAAGCCCAAGAGCCTTGTATGAAAGAATGTCTTTTGCACCCCGACATCAGATTTGGATTCGCAATTTTTTCTAGTACCCAAGCCTATGGCTCTGACAACATATGCTCTCACTTGATGGGGAGAAGAACCCCAGGCTCCATGGAAATGGCGCTATCCTGGCCCCAGTCCTAGGGCGGCTCCTTGTCCTGCTTGTATGAGGCAGGGTCCTGGCAAGCAACAGATGGCACACTCAAAGGATTTATCCAAGATGAGCTGAATGAAGATGTGGGCAGGAATAAGGGAAGCAACAAGGGATGGTAAGACGTTCAGGGACTAGCAACAGAGGGAAAGCATTACTATCCCTTGACCAGAAGAGGCAAAGAGAGGGAAGTAATGCCAGAGCCTGGTGAGAGAAGGAACTATGGAAGAGGGTTGCCTGATAGCAGTTGTGGCCATCGAGGAATGCTGCCCTTTCCAGAACCATGGCTGGACAGGAAAGGAACAGGAAGAATAAATACTCTGACTTCTCTCTCTTCCCACCTTCTAATCTCATGTCAGCACCTGTCACTGGCCAAACCCAACCAGAAACCCATGTGACACAGACCATGGAAAGGTTGGTCTCCCGGGGTACAGGACAAGGCAGAAAAAGGTGGAGAATAGATTTGGGGGGCGGGTAAGAAGATCCATGGAAAATACGCAGCACTTTCTTCTTGTAGGCAGAGCTCTTTGTATGCTATCTCACCCTGTCTGTCACATACTTGTAAAGTGGTCTAGGGAGTGTCCTCCATGCTCTTCCAGCAATGCTGCTGGTGGGAAGCTAAGATGAATCTTAGGGTCCAGTTTTTACAAGCTATTGTATGAAGTAGTGGGTTAAGTGAGGTATTTACCCAGGGTTGCAAGAGGACAGCATTGACAATAGGAGAATCCCAATGGTAAATGAGGAGGGAGGGAGGGAAGGAAGGAAGGAAGGAGAGAAGGAAGGAAGGAGGGAAGGGAGGAAGGAAGGGAGGGAGGGAGGAGGGTAGGGAGGAAGGAAGGAAGGGAGGAGGAAAGGAAGGAAGGGAGGGAGAGTTGGAGGGAAGGGAGGGAGGGAGGGAGGGAGGAAGGAAGAAGGGAAGGGAGGGAGGAAGGAAGGAAGGGAGGAAGGAAGGAAGAAGGGAAGGAAGGAAGGGAGGAAGGAAGGAAGGAAGGGAGGGAGGAAGGAAGAAGGGAAGGAAGGAAGGGAGGAAGGGAGGAAGAGAGGAAGGAGGGAAGGGAGGAGGGAAGGAAGGGAGGAGGGAGGGAAGGAAGGAAGGAAGGAAAAGTAATTTTGAAAGGAAGGAAACAAGCAAAATGGGGAGGAAAGGAAGAAAGGAAGGGAGAAGGGCTAAGAGTAGACAGGGAATCAAGAGAGGGAGGCAAGGAGAGAGGAAGGAAGGAAAAACACGCCAAGCCCCAGTTCCAAGAAGAGAGACAAGGCTATAAAATGGGAAGCCTTCCTTTGTGACAGGAATCCCTAATGAAGAGAGAAAGGGCAGTACAGAGAAGTCATGAAAAGCATGGGCTTTGGAATCAGACAGACCTTGAACCTCTCTCATGTTCTATATGTCTAGATGCCTCATGTCTAGATGGCACATTACAGCTCTTTCATACCACGCTGGCGTGGCTTAGTTCTACAGTCCCCCTGCTCCCCCAAATCTCCAGACAAGAAGTAGGCACAACTCCCCTACTTCAAGCTCCCAGTAGTGAAAACAGGGTTGGCTTGCTACCGAAGATCCAGAGACGCAACATGACAATGCTTACAAATGTAGAGTTTATTACAGGAGAAGAATACAATACAGCATGAAAGTAAGGACGAGTGTCACAGGCAAAGCCTGGCTCACAGAAAGCTGTCTGGAGAGGCCAGGTGCAAGCTCCAGTCGTCCTCCTCTGTAAGGGCCATGGCCACACTTGGTGGGGATCCTGCTTCTCCCCCTCCCTCTCCTTCTGCCCCTCCCCGCCACTTGTGCTCTCACTCCCAAATAAATAATCTTAAAAAAATAAAATAGCGAATTATATGTGATGTGAATTTATTCTCAATTAAAAACAAACAAAACAATGCTGACACTGTAGTAAAAACTGCCCTGAAATCCCTGGGGTCCATCGTCACAGAGCTACGCTAATAATCATAATGTTTTATGCTGTGGCAAAACAGCTCAGGATAATTCCAGGCTTATTGCATATCTCACTTGCAGCTTGCACATAAGGCTTGGCCCTTATAGAAGGTTAATACATGCATTAACCCTCACAGCACCCCTGCCAAACACAGTGACCCCCAAACCAGAGCTGGGACCCAACTCCTTTAGGCTAAGCCCTCCAGAAGAGAGAAGAGGGCTCAACCCATGCCACCTCCAGGCAGCCCTCCACCCACAAACTCGATACAGGCCCATAGCCCCATTGGCACATCCTGATGGGGCTGCAACTCAGACCGATGCCCCCTTGATTTCCTGTGCTCTAAATAGCAGAGGGGAAGGGAGCCCTGCTTGAGACTGATCCTCCCTCCAATGCCACCAAGGGTGACCAACTGTCCCAGTTTGCCCGGGGCTCTGTCCTGGTTTGCACACTGAAAGTGTCGCTTCTTTGGAAATCCCCCAGTCCCAGGAAAGTTGGGACAGCTGGTCACCCTAATGCCACCCCTGGCCTCTATGATGGTCTCACCATCATAGTGTGGGTGTGTACCACCCATTACTATGGAGAATGCTCTGGTTCTGCAGACAGGAAAGGGCTTGGCTCCCCTCACTTCCCAGAAGCCATCAGAGCCCTGCACTTGACCTGAAACTGTCGGGCCACTACTTCTTGTTCTGTTGCAGCTGGGTGCTTGGCTCTACAAGCCGCTCCTGCAACCTCCCTCTCTTCTGCCTGCCAAATTATCTTTACTAACAGCGGGAATTCAAGGGCTCTTCATGCCTCTCATGATGGCTAAGTCTGCACAGACGCCTCTCAGCTGTTTCAACACACATTTACTGAGCCCTTATGGGGGTTATTAGAGGTGGCCCTTGCTGCCACTTGCTGGGAGTAGGCCTGATTTGACAGCCCCTCCACCTTCTGCAACAGCTCCCCCCCCACAACCCAGCAATATGCAGGCCTCCTGCCTGTTCTGGGAGCTCAGGATCCCATGCACAGGTCCTAGCTGCCCCCTTGCTTCCAAACACACAGCTCTCCAGCTCCAGGGGCACACAGTTTTAGCAAGAGCTGGTTCAGAATCAGGTTCTGCACCCTAATCAGGGGACCCAGTGGTGAGGACCAGGGGGTTCCAGCCTGTGGGGACCTAAGCTCTAGCAGGGGAGGGATGCACTCCCCAGAATGCAAGGTTGCACTATGATAGAGAGGTAAGTCCAGGGACTGTGGGTGGGATCAGCCAAGGTTTCTTGGGGAGGGGACACCTGAGAGGAGCCTCACAGGTCACCTGAAAGTTGTGCAAAGAAGGGGGCATTGGGAGAGATCTTTGGGGGCCTAGAGAACAGCATCCATGGGGACATGGGATGGCACGAGGGGTGTGTAGAAAGGTAGGGAGATGCAGGAATAGAATCCAGGGACCTGAAGGAGGAGATATTTTCACTGAGGAAGCTGGAACCCAGTGTCTGATCTCCCAACCAGGTCCAGGAGGTGAGGGCTGGACAAGCAACCTTTGGGGGTGGTAACTGAGGCATGATGGCAGAGGCCAGCTTACAGGGGTGGAGGAGGTAGACACAGGGCTACAGAATGCTCTTCTAAAAGCTCAGCTCTGGGGCGCCTGGGTGAAGCAGTTGGTTAAGCGTCCAACTCTTGGTTTCAGCTGGGGTCTTGATCTCAGGGTTGTGACATCGAGCCCTGTGTGGGGCTCTGAGCTAAGCACAAAGTCTGCTTGAGATTCTCTCTCCCTCTCCCTCTGCCCCTCCTGCTCATGTTCCCGCTCTCTCTAATATATAAATAAATCTTTAAAAGATAAACAAACAAACAAATAAATAAATAATAGCTCAACTCTGACATGAATAGAAAGAGAAGTAGAGAGGTACCTGGGTGGCTCAGTCAGTTGGGCGTCTGCCTTCAGCTCAGGTCATGATCCCAAGGTCCTGGGATTGAGTCCTGCATCGGGCTCCTTGCTCAGCAGGGAGTTTGCTTCTCCCTCTGCCTGCCACTCCCCCTGCTTGTGCACGTTGGTTCTCTCTCTCTGATAAATCAGTCAATCAATCTTAAAAAAAGAGAGAGAAGTAGAAAGGGCTGGCTTTGGTGTTTAGGATGGAAGAGAGAGATGCAGTAAGTTATAAGGGGGACTTCGGGGAAGGACCCAGTAGAAAAGGAGTGAATGAAGAATGAAGAGATAGAAGAGAGGGTTCTGGATGGGGGCTGGGTCCAGGCATGCTGCAAGGGGGTAAGGGTGAGGTCTCAGGTTAACCAAGTCTCTCGTTCATTATCCTAAGCAACTAAGAACACTGAGTCAAATAAGGACACCAAGTCCCTGTTCTCAGGGGCGGCAAGTATACAGATCCTCAGCAAAGATTGTCCTGTGTCTTGCTGGGTAGAGGGACAGGGAGGATCCTGTCCTGAAGGCAGTTGCTTCAGCTGGTGCTGGAACGAGCATCATGGTCTGTTCTGCTGAGCAAGTGGGGGCATGGGATGAGGCTTGGGGCTGTGTCATGGTAGGCTGAGCACTGGGCAAGGATCTATGTCCAGGTCTGACTGGGGAGGCCCTTCTTGTAGTATCCTGAGCAATGGCTCAGATATGACTCATGTTCTGATGGTTCCTGGTATGCCAAATTGGGGGGCTGTGACTTGGTCCTATACCCTCTGAGGTTGCATTGTCTGTACCAAGTGGTCACCTATCCAACTCCTAACCTAGGCAGGAGACTACGGCTCAGTATGCAGATTAGTGGTCTGGTCACCCCAACTGTCCAGTGACTTGCTGAGCAGAGAGATGTTCATGAGCTGTTTTTGGCTGAGGCTGTCTCTTGGTTCACCAAGCTGTGGTATAGCCCCCAGTTTGGTCTGGGCTATCTCCTCGTGTGTGAAGCACTGATATAGGGAGAAAGAAATGCCTTTCCCTGGGCAGATGCTGCCTCTTAGGGTTCACAGTGGTGGAGTGGATGTTGACCTTTTTCTGGGAAGGATTAGGCAGCGATGGTGCCAAGAGGGGATGAAGGTATATGCCCTAGACCCAGTGGTAGCTGAGAGTGGGGTTCTCCAGATGGGCTGAGTAATGATCTAGCTTTAAGTGTTTATCTTTGTGAGGGCTTTGTCCTGGTGTGCCCAGTCCTGGTGTAACCACAAAGCATGGTCTTGGAAGAGAATGTCTTCTGGTCTTCTGGCACTCGTTTCTGTCATCAAGTTTAGATGAAGTCATACTGGATTAGGGCAGGCACTAAATCCAATTATGACTGGTGTCTTTATAAGAAGAGGAAATTTGGGGCACAGATACACAGAGACACACAGAAAGGAGAATGCCATGTGAAGACAGACAGAGATTGGAAGGATGTATCTACAAGCCAAGGAATGCCAAGGGTTGCTGGGAACCCACACAAGCTAAGAGGCAAGGAGGGAATCTTCCCTAGAGCCTTTGGAGAGAGCAAGGCCCTGCTGACTCCTTGATTTCAGACTTCCAGCCTCCAGAACTGTAAGAGAATAAACTTCTGTTGTTTTAAGGGACCCAGTTTGGGGTAATTTGTTACAGCAGCCATAGGATACTAATATACCTTGCTTCTACTTCCTTTCTTTTTGTACAGACCTTGCTTAAATGCTGAGGATTTCTTTCTATTTCCCTAGAACGTTCCTCTTTGGGGGCACCTGGGTGGTTCAGTCGGTTAAGCATCTGACTCTTGGGTTTCTGTTAAGGTCATGATCTTGGGTCTGGTCGGGCTCTGCACTCAGCAGGAAGTCTACATGGGAGATTCTGTCTCTCCCTCTCCTTTTGCCCCTCTCCACACTCGTGTGTGCATGCCTTCTCTCTCAAATAAATAAATAAATAAAAATCTTAAAAAAAAAAAAAAAGGATTCTCTTTCCCTGCCACCACCGAGTCGCATGGAGGTGGAAGGTCGCGTGCAGTCAAGATTCGGCTACACTCGTAATCCACTACCATGGCCGAGGAAGGCATTGCTGCCGTAGGTGTAATGGACGTTAATACTGCTTCACAAGAGGTGCTGAAGACCGCCCTCATCCACGATGCGATGGCCTAGCATGTGGAATTCGCGAAGCTGACAAAGCCTTAGACAAGCACCAGGCCCATCTTTGTGTGTGTGCATCCAACTGTGATGAGCCTATGTATGTCAAGTTTGTGGAGGCCCTTTGTGCTGAACACCAAATCAACCTAATCAAGGTTGATGACAAAAGAAACTAGGGGAATGTGTAGGCCTCTGTAAAACTGACAGAGGGAAAACCCTGTAAAGTGGTTGGCTGCAGTTGTGTGGAGGTTAAGGACTATGGCAAAGAGTCTCAGGCGAAGGATGTCATCAAGGAATACTTCAAATGCAAGAAATGAACAAATAAACTTGGTTCTTGTTCCACAAAAAAAAAAAAAAAAAAGGAATGTTCCTCCTTGGACAAGTGAGTATAATTTAGCCAACCGCATTTCATCAAACATCCGTATTTCTCAAGCAGCTGTGACTGTTAAAATACTACCAGTATATGTTAGTACCTATTGAAAATAGGACTAAGATTTCTTTTTTACACCATAACAAGTGAATTTTAAAATTTCCCACTGATTTAAAGCACAGCAACAGGGGTGCCTGGCTGGCTCAGTCAGTAGAGCATGCAACTCTTGACCTCAGGGTTGTGAGGGTGTTGGGTGTAGAGATTACTTAAAAATAAAATCTTTAGGGGCGCCTGGGTGGCTCAGTTGGTTAAGCGACTGCCTTTGGCTCGGGTCATGATCCCGGAGTCCTGGGATCGAGTCCCGCATGGGGCTTCCTGCTCAGCGAGGAGCCTGCTTCTCCCTCTGACCCTCCCCCCTCTCTTGTACTCTCTCTCTCTCATTCTCGCTCTCTCAAATAAATAAATAAATCTTAATAAAATAAAATAAAATAAAATCTTTAAAAAAATAAAATAAAATAAAATAAAGCACAGCAACATCTTTTATTCTGAGAGACAAAGAACTGAAAACATAACCAGGGAAGTGTTTTGTGTCAATGCCGCTTACTCAGTTTTTTCATCTTATTAATTTTGTTAGTACAGTTTTAATCCATTTTTTTAATAAATAAGTTCATTTTACATTTTAGAGGTTTATTATGTTATTACTTAGAATTAAGTTTCTAGCACTCACATATTTGAGTTCCAGGTACTATATTTGATGGAGGGAAAGCAAATATACCACATTATAATTCCATTGCCTCCCCTTCTTTTTTAGATTTGTCTGCTATCCTACACAACACTCCTTCTTTTTGCTTCATCCCTTTATCAAACACTCCAACAATATGGCTTTTGCTATCCTAAGCTCCCCCCGTTCATTTCTCCTTTTGCCAGTCCCCTTCCCCAACCCAATTTCTCTATTCCCTCTTCCTACCTACTAAGTATTATTAAACTCTAAATCATACTGGCTGGTGGTTGCAGAGATAAAAATACAAAGTCGGGCTCTCTGGGCTCCATTATGGGTCAGAATGAATGGCCCTTAAAGTTCAACTCAGGAAAGGTATAACCTCTGGGTCTAAGGCAACCCCCTAGCTAGCAAACAGTTTTCCAGGATCCATGCCTCACTTAAAACTTACTGCTTAAGGAAAAAAAAAAAAAAAAAACTTACTGCTTAAGGTTATACCATGTGATGGAACCTGTTTATTCTTTCACCTTTTTTTTTTTTTTTAAAGATTTTATTTATTCATTTGACAGAAAGAGACACAGCGAGAGAGGGAACACAAGCAGGGGGAGTGGGAGAGGGAGAAGCAGGTTTCCCGCGAGCAGGGAGCCCGATGCAGGACTCGATCCCAGAACCCTGGGATCATGACCTGAGCCGAAGGTAGACGCTTAACGACTGAGCCACCCAAGCGCCCCTCTTCTTTCACCTTTAGTAGCTCGCTAGTCTGTCCTTGCTTAGATCCCAGCTCCTGTCTGTGCCCTCATCCATTGCTAAGTGCTGCCTAGCTGCACACCACCTACCCAACGCCACACCATCTCCCCAGTTAAAACTTTGCCCAACCCCTGTCAGTTGCCTTGACTACTTCTATGTCCAACCAGGACTTTGACTTCTTCACAGGGAGCTCTTTAAAACTCCAATTTAGGGGCACCTGGCTGGCTCAGTCAGAAGAACATCAACTCTTGATCTCGGGGTTTTGAGTTTGAGCCCCACATGGGGCACAGAGGTTACTGAAAAATAAGTAAATTTCAAAAAAATAAAAACCCTCCAATTTATTGAGTCACATGCTGTGCTAAATGCTTCACATCCACTATTTCATTTAATGCTCACAACTATATGAGATAAGAATTACCCCCCTCACCTTCAGTCACTGACCGTGCTTTCCATTGTACAGGAAATAATGAGGACATCAACATACGCTTCTTCAATTTCCTTCTTCTCCACCTCAAAATCTCTCTGGATCTTGAAGTGCTTCACTTCCTTTATTCCCATAAATGGGCAGAGACAGAAATAGAGGGGCATCCGAGAGACAGACATGGTTGATCCACGGTCTCAAGGAACTCAGACCTTAATGAATTCCATGAGGATCAACAAGAACTGTCTAAAAGGAAGTACCAAGAGGGGCGCCTGGGTGGCTCAGTTGGTTAAATGGCTGACTACTGATTTCAGCTCAGGTCATGATCTTGGGGTTGTGAGATCGAGCCCCGCACTTAGCGGGGAGTCTGCTGCTCTCCCTCTCACTCTCCCTCTGCCCCTCCTCCCACTCTCTCTCAAAAAATAATCTTAATATAAAAAAGGAAGTACCAAGAGCCTGCCAAGAAATTTCAGAAAGCTGTCATCCAAAGAGATGTTGACATCAGAAAACAAGGAGCCTAGTAAAGTTTGGGGCCTAAGAGTATAGCATTTCTGGTGGGGCAGCTTACTGACTTCTAAAAACATTCTTTTTCACATGCGGTCAGCCAAGGTGTAGAGGCTTTCACTCTTCAGCCTTTTCAAGGCACTACTCATCTTCTGCTCCCTGTCTTTTCTACCTGCCAGGGTTAATCACTCAGATGGCTTTGATTTTATCCCTGCAACTCCCTGATGAGTTTCAAAATAATGACTCCAAATGTCCCAGTCTCCCACCAAAACCAAG